TTATGTATAGTCATTAATTTAGTCATAACATATTGTCGTTATTAATGTTAAGCAAATGTATGCAAATTATTTCAGGTTTGTCCACTAGAACCACCTTTCGAAAAATAATTAGCCTCATAATTAAAACGTGACAGCCTGTAAAACCTAGCCACGTGTCCAGTTGCCTTCTTTTACTTATCTTCCAACAAATATTTTCGACGACCTTTGGAAAAAATCTCCGACGAGAAAAATCTAAATCCAAAAATCCAACCTTTCGATTCTTCCTTCGTTTACTCTCACAGATTCGAATTGGGTTTCATCGGAAAAACAAAACCCAAAAATGTCTAATCTCCTGATTTTGATCGCTTCTTTTCTCTTCCTCTTCAATTTACCTTCTTCACTCGCCGATTCAGATTCTCCGACCGCTTATTCAATCCTCCAGAGCTACAATTTCCCTGTCGGAATCCTTCCAAAAGGAGTCGTATCTTACGATTTAGACACAACAACAGGGAAATTCCATGCGTATTTCAACGATTCGTGTAAATTCAATCTCGTGGGTTCTTACCAATTGAACTACAAATCTACGATCAGTGGTTACATCTCCGAGAACAAGCTCACGAAATTGACTGGTGTTAAAGTGAAAGTCTTGTTCTTGTGGCTTAACATCGTCGAAGTTATCAGAAACGGAGACGAGATGGAGTTTTCCGTTGGGATCACGTCGGCGAATTTCGCGATTCAGGAGTTTTTGGAGTCGCCTCAGTGTGGGTGTGGATTTGAGTGCAAGGATTCGAAATTTGACATGTTTGAGAGAAAATCCCCTTTTGTTGCTTCGTCTTGAAATTGAAAAATGTACCTTTTGAGTAGTTTTTGTGTCTGAAAAGAAAAAAGAAAAAAAAAGCTGACCTTTTCGATTTATGTATCTTTTCTTTTCTCCTGAATCATTAGTACTTTGTCTTGTCCAATAATATGAGTTTTAGTTTATGGGATTCATATGTGTTCTTGTGAATTCAGTTTCGTTCGTTGATTGGATTCAGAGTTCTGTAATAGTGAAAGTAGAGTGATTTGAAAGGGAGATGTGAACATTGTGAAATGAAATATCTAGCTCAGAATCAATGGTCGATTTTGGATGGTTTTATGATCTGAGATCTGAATGTTGTCTAAGATTTGATGTCTTTTGTTCGTTAACTCATATAAGGTACATGTCTGATTCATGGCACTGGATAAAGTTTACTCTTTTGTTGTTATTTCTTCTTTGGTGATTTGGTTTGGACGAGCTTAGAGATAGGGCTGAGTTGCAGTTAGTAGAGAACCTAATTTCTAGGACTGTTTCAATTGATAATCTTGGATCTTTATGTCTGGTGAAAAGAGAATTTAGCTTGTGTATATTACAGATAATTAGTGAAGATGATTTTTGGTAAAGTCTTTGTGCTTTTGTTGTTGAAGTTTATAGATGTTTCAAAATGTGAACTAGAACATGGTTCTTCGAAGATCTACTTTCGATTTCTTTTGATACATCATACAATTGTGTCGAGGACGATGAGCGATGTTGGTCTGTGATTTACTCAGTTTGAGCCTTAAGAGTTAAGAGGCTCGAGATGGTATTAGATCCTTTCTTTCAAGAACTGGAGTCAATTAGAAAATGAAATATGTTGATTTTTACAAGTATAATTCTAAAACATGTGCAGTCATTTGAAGAAACGGATAGATCATAAGCTAAGATTTGATTGTTGGAAAAAAGGGTATGAAGATTTATGGTAACTTTTTTCTTCTTCTGGTGACTTTTGTGAGCCCGGTCATGAGTCGAATAACCGGTTTAAGTTTTCGGGTCTTTGGGGCTCAACCCGATCCTCGAGTTTTGGTTTCAGTGTCAACATATGATTTATTTTTGGTGATCCATTCGTCAATGCATCCGAAAAGACATATGTAACAAGTCAACGGATGTACCAAAACTTTCATTCCTGGTTTAGTCGATGCCAAAAGAAGTAAAAGAGTTTTCAATTTGAGCACCCAATTCACGTGTAAATATGCAAATTATCACCATATGAAATGATTGGATAAAATTAGCGAACGATTCAAATTCAAAAGAATAACGGAACCATGTAAAACCAAAACCAAAACCATGTAAAAGATATCACAATTTGAACCTTAAGAGGGTCGAGTCGAGATAGTGTTAGCTCCTTTCTTCCGGAACTGGAAAATGTCACAATGACTCTTTTTTTTTTTTTTTGTCAACAATCACCATTATATTAAATCAAATTGTTACCGATTGGATGGTTATGTCACAATGACTCTTAAAAGTTAACAATGGAGTTGTTTAGCAAAAAAAAAAAATTAACTATAGACTTGATTTTTTCTGGG